CCTCTCTTTTCAATCTGAAAATCAATCTTCTTAACAGAGAAGACAAAGAAAAACGTGAGTATTAAGTTCTACCTTCTCACATGAGCATCTACCTATGCCGCAAGCCCGTGTTTTCCATGCTTGAGAAAATTTCAAATGTTCTTTTTGTTACTTTTAATATATATTCTTAAATGTTTATTGTTGAGAATATTACATATGTCCCCCATCTACCCCATCCAGCCCATTCCCAACCCTCACCCCAGGTTCTACCTTCTCACATGAGCATCTACCTATGCCGCAAGCCCGTGTTTTCCATGCTTGAGAAAATTTCAAATGTTCTTTTTGTTACTTTTAATATATATTTTTAAATGTTTATTGTTGAGAGTATTACATATGTCCCCCATCTACCCCATCCAACCCATTCCCAACCCTCACCCCAGGCCCAACTAACAATATATTTTATATATTGTGCTCAATTTTTCTCTTTTATTGTAATTTTTATGTTTGTGTAGTCAGAATTGTGTTTCTTGAGAACCTCCGAACCACTTAAGCTTTCTTTTCCCCCCTAACTTTTGCTAAGTTTACTTCGTTTTACCTGAAAATTAAAAGTGAAACAAGTAAGTGTCAGGATTATAGCCAGAGATAAGACATTTCCATTTAGACGTCCTATAATCTATATTTTCATAAAGAAACTGTGTTTCTTGAGAACCTCCGAACCACTTAAGCTATCTTTTCCCCCTTAACTTTTGCTAAGTTTACTTCATTTTACTTGAAAATTAAAAAGTGAAACAAGTAAGTGTCAGGATGATAGCCAGGGATAAGACATTTCCATTTAGACTTCCTATAATCTATATTTTCATAAAGAAATATCCTACTACATATACATCACTTTTGATTTCTGCCTTCTCACTTATTAAGAACATTTCCCCATATCCTTAAAAACTCTTCCTAAACATTACTTCTCATAGCTTTCTAGTATCCTATCACATGGTGCTATGGTTTGAATTGCGTCCCCCCCAAAAAATATGTTGAGGTCCTAACCCTGAATGTGACTCAAAATGTGACCCTGAGGATGTAATTAGTGAAGTTAAGATGAGGTAGTATTGGAGTAGAGACTGGTATCCTATGACACTGAGAAGACACAGAGAGACAGGGAGAATGCCTGCAGATGGATGC